ATGATTAGGGACTTGTTGGCTGAAGACGTGTGCGTACCTGAGAGGGCTGAAATCATCCTAGAGGCTCGCTTAGACCGTGGTGCAAGCAGCGGAAATGTGGTAAAGTTCGAGCCCAAGATACATGACGAGAAAATTGGACGAGTAATTGCACTGGGGAAGACCCTGTTGCGTGTTGATGAAGTTGTGCCAGTCAGGGTCATGAATGTCAACTACTTTCCCGTGACCTTGAACAAGGGAACAATGCTGGGGCACTGTTCGTCCATTTCGTCTGTGATACGGAGTGTACGCAGTTCGGTTAGCCAAGCCAACAACTTGCCTAAAGAATTGGAGAAGTTAATTGACATTTCCTCCAAGGACATACCATCAACTCACCGATCTAAATTGAGGGAGCTAGTCAAGAGGTACCAGGAAATCTTCGATATTGGAGAAGGAAAAGGAGGCAGAACGAATGTGGTTCAGCATAAAATCGACACGGGGAATGCCCGACCAATCCGGCAGTCAGTTAGAAGACTCCCTCTTGCGAAGAAAGGCAGACAAGATAGTCAGCGATATGGAAAAAGAAGGAGTCATTGAACCTTCTCACAGCCTTTGGTCTTCCTCAGTCCTTTTAGTGAAGAAGAAGGACGGTCGACAAGGTTCTGCGTGGATTATCGCCAAGTAAATAACGTGATGAAAAACGACAGCTACCCTCTTCCAAGAATCGACGACACCCTATACACGCTAGCCGGCTCCACAATTTGGATTTGAAGAGTGGATATTGGCAAGTTGAATTGGCCCCAGAAGATCGAGAAAAGACAGCTTTTACCATCGGCTCAGAATTGTGGCAGTTTACGGTTATGCCATTCGGGCTTTGTAATGCTCCAGCGACCTTCGAGAGATTGATGGAGACGGTTCTCAAAGGACTCTCATGAAAGACGTGTCTAGTGTATCTCGACGATATAATCGTGGTCGGAAAATCGTTCGACGATCACTTGAAAAATTTTGAGGAGGTATTCATGCGTCTGAGGAGTTCGGGATTGAACTTAGTCCCAAGAAATGCCATCTGTTCCAGAAAGAAGTTCGTTACCTTGACCACGTTGTTTCTGGGAAAGGAGTGGCAATAGACGAACAAAAGATCAAAGCAGTTAAGGAATGGCCCATTCCAAAAGACATACACCACCTTCGGAGCTTCCTTGGTTTGTGCACCTACTACCGCAGATATATGCTGGGGTTTGCCAACATCGCCAAACCATTGGCCCGACTTACAGAAGGACAGATCCAGTTCCAGTGGTCTGAGGAATGCCAAGACTCATTCAAGAAGCTAAAAAGGGCTTTGATCAACGCTCCTGTTTTGAGCTATCCCCTACCGGACGGAAAGTTCATTTCAGATACGGACGCCAGCAACGTGGGACTTGGAGCAGTCCTTTCTCAGATCCAGGATGGACAGGAGAAAGTTATTAGCTACTTCAGCAAAACGCTCAGTGAACCAGAGCGCAATTATTGTGTCACCAGGCGAAACATGTTGGCCGTTGTCAAAGGTATAGAACATTTCTACAAATACGTGTATGGAAAAAAATTTCTGTTAAGAACGGACCATGCAGCTGGATTGGACCAACGTTGGATTGAGAGACTTCAAGAATTTGACTTTGAAATAGAACATCGAGCTGGGACTAGCCATAAAAACGCAGATGCCCTGTCACGGAGACCATGCCCCGATAACTGCTCACATTGCCGACGAGCAGAAGAGAAGAAAGCAGCTATTTGTAGAACTACAGCTGTAGACGACAACTAGAAGAAGAATAGGATCAGTGAAGACCAAGAGAAAAATCCAGATCTTGGTTTAGTCATCGGATGGAAGAAAAATGATCAAAGACCATCGTGGCAGGAGGTAGCAGATAATTCGCCAGCGGTTAAGTCCTACTGGGCACAATGGAACTCCCTTACCTTGAAAAACGGGGTTCTGTAGCGGGTGTTGGAGTCTGAAGACGGTGCAGAAGAAAGGCACCAGACAGTGGTACCCAGGAGCAGACGACGGAAGGTGCTCAAAGAAATCCATGATGGAGTCGCTGGATGACATCTGGGAGTAACAAAGACCCTCCGGGAAGTAAGACAACGGTTTTACTGGGTTAATTGTCAAGCAGACGTCAAGGACTCGTACAGAAAATATGCTGTATGCGCTGCCATTAACGGACCTAGGATACGACCGAAAGCTCCAATGCGCCAGTATAACGTGGGTAGTCCTTTCAAGAGAATCGCCATCGACATCGCCAGCCCGTTCCCAGAGTCCGACCATGGGAACAAATACATCCTGGTAGCCATGGACTACTTCAGCAAGTGAGCAGAAGCATATGCCCTGCCCAACCAGGAAGCCTTTACCGTCGCTGACGTCCTGGTAAATGGAATGGATATGTCGATTCGGTGTCCCATTGGAGCTGCATTCGGACCAGGGCAGAAATTTTGAGTCCAACCTGTTTCAAGAAATATGTAAACTGTTGGACATTCGAAAGACCAGAACCACAGCCTTACATCCACAATCCGATGGAATGGTGGAACGAATGAACCATAAACCGCCACTTGTCCAATGTAGTCTCTGACCATCAAAGATTCTGGGACCAATACCTCCGCCTGTTCCTGCTGGCTTATCGTTCGGCTGTGAACGAGTCAACTGGCCAAACCCCTGCCAGTATTATAATGGTCCGAGAGCTGCGGCTTCCTTGTGACCTGAAGTTTGGGACGCCGCCAGAACAAGACACTGCGGGGGAAGACTATGTCAGCAAGCTTTGGCAGATAATGGACGACATCCATGAACGAGTCCGTCTGAACATCCGGAGTGCCAGCAATAGAATGAAAAAGGCCTATGACATCAAGGCGAATGCTGGAGAATTCGAAACGGTGACCTAGTTTGGCTGTACAACCCTAAGCGACGCCGTGGTTCATCACCGAAGTTGCAGAACTCTTGGGAAGGTCCGTAGAAAATCATGAAAAAGATTAATGACCTCGTCTACCGAATCCATAAGCCACCTCGAGGAAATCCTAGGGTCGTCCATTTTAATAGACTGGCTCCTTATGCTGGAAATCACGATCAAGTTCGCGCCCTCAGAGCACCAGAGGATGGAATGGCGTTCCAGCAATTCATGTCCTTATACTCGAACGGACAGAAAGTCGTACACGGGGTAACTCGAGAAGAGCCACGAGACCTTTTCAAGGTTCCAGTTGATTACGCACTGGCTCACTGCGTGGCAGAGGATCTCCAAATGTCCAAGGGTATCGCTGTGGTATTCAACAAGAAATTCGGTCAGCTCCAAACATTACGAGAACAGAAGGAGAACGGAGGAGTGCTACAATTGAAGAAGGGTCAGAGAAACATCTTATACTTGGTGACCAAAAAGCATTTTTGAGACAAACCGTCCTATGAAGATGTCTGGAGGAGTCTTACTAGACTGAAGGAGACGATGCTCGACCAGAATCTCGTGGACCTGGCAATCCCGAAATTAACCTCTGGGCTCGACAGGCTGGACTGGAGAATTGTGAGAAGCATGTTGGAAACGATCTTCACATCCAGCGGCATCCAGATTTTGGTGTGCGGTAACCATCTTCCACGACATGAAGACTGTGGAGTGTCACTTCCATCGAACTCCACAGTGCAGATATGGGGAGTCCTGCAGGTATCAACACACGCCAAGGATGACATTTCGGGACGGAACGTCTTTGAGAAGGGGGCATTGTAAAGAATCTGAAGCCGGCACTGACTCACCGCGATAGGAATGCGATCGACGAATCGCCACGAAAAGAATAGATGAGTACCGAAACAGCTTGATGTATCTAGAACGTTCGTTACCAATATAAAAGGTTGGGTCCTCGCTCAGATAGGGAGTCTGTATCTAGAAAGTGAATTGTGCGTTTAAAGAAAGAATTCTAACCGTGAAGATAAATTAAGCGTTAGTTGCTGAGTGTTGTATATAAAATCAGCTGTGATAGTGAAATATTTTTAAAAATACATTTGTTTAAGACAGTTATTTTTTTAATTCGTTACAGTATTCTTACTTGTGGGTTTTTATTAGACCAATAAAGGGCGTTTTGTTGATCAACATGCACGTTCAAATGATACTTTGCCTCGTCTAAAAATAAAACGTTAGGCGATGAATTGGTTATTGACGAGTATACATTTTTTTGGTCAGTATTCTTACTGTATACAGTTTTTTTGGTCGAAGTCGACTTCAGTCATTTCGTGGATGAGACATACCTACTTTATGAGAATAGTAATTCAAATTTATAAAAATTTTCGATACTGAAGACTTTTTAAAATCAAATCAAAATTTTCATATAGTGACCGTATTATACACTGTGGATTTTGAACTGTTGAAAAAATTACTGCTCGTTGTTTATACTCAGGAACTATAGGTAAATCTTGCTTTGATGCATTCCTCGCATGTCCTTATTCTCTGTATTTTGCTATATTCTGTTCACAGTAGATAATAAAATAAGTTCACGATCTAAGTACATTTCATGGAATGATCTGCTTACCTCATGTTATATCATACTTCATTTTTGGAATCAGTCATGTGAATAAACCGGTGATGATACTATTACTCGGATAGATCGCCCTGTATATTAAATTATTATTTTAAAAAACATCAAATGAAAATCGAGAGTTGACTTGTTTAGAGAATTTCTTGTAATTTTGTTTATTCATCTCATAATGAATGCATGTGTTATGGGCGCATTGTACAACTGAATATATCCTGGAGAAGGCATGATATGAATTAATTACATCAAAAACTCATTTCCTAAAAAATTATGAACACCGGTTCTTCTCTTACTAAAGAATCCATTATCGATTTCATTCTTTGTAAAATACTCTAACATATAGTATTTGTGCGCAAATGGAAAGTTTATTATTAATCAGACAAAATTATTATCCGATATAGCTATCCGTGTTTTTTAAATACCTAAAAAAACTTATCTCGCGCATTCAAGTGGGAGTTTGTTAGTGTTTAATAGCCGCGAAATAGTGATTGGACCACAGCCAGATAATTTCAAAGTGCGGTCCTATGATTCAAAATATAGTTTCAAATCCTGAACAAGTGCATATATACATATGTATGAGATGATCCTGAGGTATAACTGACAACTCAAAATGTCCTCATCGAAAAAGTGAGTTTTAAACCTTTTTTCTGTGAATGAAAACTTTGAATTCATGATTATGCCTCTTAGTATGGATATGAATGAGTAGCTTTTCATTGTTCAGTTCTGGAAGTTATTTCTATGTTATTGTATGCGTGCTCACTAATGTTCTTCCAGTTTGACCTATGTGAAATATTGGACACCAAGTTATTATTCGTTTAATATGTCATATTCACACCTTCATTTTTAAATTGATAAGAAATCTTCATACTAGGTTGTAAGCGAATCGTTATGGTCTCACTATATAGTTTTTTGGACAGTTAATAATCTATTAGATTGATATAGTCATCATTGTTGGTCGCAATACGTTCCATTTAAGTTTTAACTGAAATTCGCATCAGACAAACATTCACTTGTCTGTGGATCATACTGTTAAATGCAACTAGTTTGTGTTGTAATGTGTATGTCAGGATAGTTGAGAAATGTTTCCAGTTTTTCAAATCATCTCTGATGAAGATATCAACCAATATTGTTACGCCTATCTTCGTACCCCAAAAACGTTACATTATGTTTATTTTTTTAAGAAAGTTTTTGGCTTTCTACTTTTTCATGATACAAAAAATGTGGGAATCTTCCAAAGAAAGGAAGGAAGCAATGCTCATTTTATATCATATAAATATTTTCGACTAAAATTTTTGTTTCTATGTGCTGAAAATCATTTCATTACTGTTTCATCGTTAGATATAATTAAAAATACTTCAAAAGTTGAAGGAAAAAAAACCTTTTTCATTATAAATTTAAGTGATTATATTTTATTATGAAAAGTCGAAAGAAGATAAGTAGTTTTTGAAGTTCGTGAAGTTCAGTTCGTCAAATTTTCACTTTTCATTCAACAAAATCGGATTCTTTGCAGATACTTTTGACAATAGAACTAATGAGGTGCCATTCATGTTATTTTGCCTTCACTTCAACCATTTGACGGTTGACTAAGTACTTCCTATTGAATATGATTGGAAAATATATAGACAATTTTAAATAATTTTTGAACATTTGAACTGTCCCTCTCAGAAGCTGTTATTGCAATTTCTATTAATAATTAACTTTTAATCTGTACCACAAGATACTGTACTGCAAGGAATGTACTCCATATTTTATCAAACATGAACTTGCATATCCTACATTGTTCTAGTACCTACATCGTGTACATGTCTATATGTATATTGAGTTATTGAAGGAAATGCTCCTCACAAATAAGAAAAATAAATGCAATTTCTATCAACATACCTGTCTTGATGGTTTTGTGAGATTGTAGGAGAGTGTTTCTTCCGTGGATTTTTTATTATTCTTATTAGTAAGCCTATCCGCTGTGCATCTTGGTTTATGATTTACACCACATCCGAAGCAAGCTTCAACTTTTTTGTTTCTCTTTTTTTTATAATGATTTTTATCTTGGAGTTTGGCGTTGTCATAAATTGTTTTCAATCTCTCCTCTTCCTTTACATTTGCTTCATGCACTCTGCACATTTCTAAAGCCGTGTTTAGATCAAGTTCGTACTGATTAAGTAATTTTACTTGAATTCGTTTATCTACTACACCGATTACCAGCATATCCCTGAGAAGATTTTCCATTTCTGAACCAAATTCACATACCAGTGCCAAACTTCTTAACTCGATAAAATAATTGTCGATAGTTGTAATCTTGAGAAAAAAGTGAACCTGTTGTATACTATGTTTTTTCTAGAACGGCAAAATTCATCAAATTTTCTCAAAACCGTGTTGAAATTACCACGTTCTTCTGTGCCCTCGTAGTTGAATGTATTGTATATGTAAATTCCTTGATCGCCCAATATATTCAACATAATTGCTATTTTCACAGAGTCATCTTTATTATGTTTCTCCGAAGCCTCCAAATATATTTGAAAATGTTGTTTGTATTTTGCCCAATTTTCTGAAATTTTGCCTCCAAACACCATGGGCTGGGGTAAATTGAGCGAAACGTTCATTTCTGACACCACACAATAATGCTCACCAACTCGATAAAGTAATATTGAACTAGATAATATAAGATACTTTATTGATGATAGCACTATTTCTTTATTCAACTGATTAGCTATAATGATTCGAAAAAATAAAGAAAATTCAAATGGTACTTGAAGAATAAATTTGGGGAGCCTCGTACCTACATCGTGTACATGTCTTTGATATCTTTGATATCCGGGGTTTGAGTACTCTGTCGAACCCATAGATAACGTCTTCGTAAAGAAATATGTTGTTGACTTTACTTACTCGGGCATATCCTTCAAGCACAGTTGAGTCCACAACGCATTAGTGGTTCAGCCTAGCACCACTGATGATACCTATGGCGAGTCGAAACAGCGCTCTCAGGTGACGAATCATGAATGCGTTGTTCTCTGGTTTCCAGCATGTTAATACATTTATGATCGGAAATGAATTAATACATGGACTGAAACGTCCCGGGCCTAAGAGAGAAAACGCGTTTTTTTTAAATTGGCTTTATTCATCAAAGTAATCTTCATCAGCCACAAAATCATTTCAGCGCCGCTTTAACATCTCAATGCCACTTTTCTGGAACGATTTATCTTTTGCCTCAAAAAGTTTCAGCAATAACCTGTTCATTCGAGTGAAATTTCTTAACGGAGAGCATTTTTTAAGGTCTGGAATAGCTAGTAGTCGCTGGGAGCCAAATCTTGGGAATACAGTGGATGTGGGAGCAATTCAAAGTTCAATTCATGTAGTTTTGCCATTGTATTGATTGACTTGTGACACTGTGCACTGTCTTGATGAAGCAGCACCTTTTTTTCTTCAAATATGGTCGTTTTTTCGCAATTTCGGACTTCAAACGCTCCAATAACACTATATAATATTCACTGTTGATAATATTTCCATTCTCAGGATAGTCTATGGATATTACACCACGTACATCGCAAAATACCGAGGCTATAATCTTTCCAGACGATTGTTGTGCTTTCGGGCGCTTTGGACGAAGCTCACCAGTTGCCCTCCACTCAGATGACGATCGTTTTGATTTCGGAGTAATGTGATGGATCCATGTTTCATCCATTGTCACATTTTGACGCAAAAATCCGGTTTATCATGTTTAAACGTGGCCAAACACTGCTCAGGGTCATCAAGACGTTCTTGTTTTTGGTTAACAGTGAGTTCGCGCGGCACCCACTCTGAACAGAGCTTTCTCATAGTCAAATGCTCATACAATATAAAGCCAACGCGTTTTTTTATATCTTTACCTGGTCACTTTTCGATCATTCAAAACGATTTTGTGGAGTTCTTTATGTTTTCTGGTGTTACTGCCTCATTTGGACGTCCACTGCGTTCTGCATCATCGGTGTCTCCACGACGACGTTTCAAGTCAGCAAACGAAAGTTTGATTGTTGTTTCTGATGGAAAGGAGTCTTTATTACACTTTTCAAGCCATTGCTTCGCTTGAAAGGTATTTTTTCCATCGAGAAGCAGTGTAAAACTAAAACACGAAATTGTTTTTGATCCATTGTTTTTGAAATAACAAAAGTAATGTCACTCTTAGCACAATACTCACAAACTTATGAGTAGAATATCATGAAATTTCAACATCTCTCTTTTGTGTTCTATGTGTTAAGACTGAGACTTTTCAGCCCAGATAGTATAATCACTTTTGATTCCACCAAGTTAATTGTGGGTATTTTAGTTTTTATTCCTAGTAGTATAGCCTTAAAGTTTGATGGTTCTACCTAGATGGTAGAACCATCGGTAGAACCATCGTTGAGGTAGTGCTTCAAAAAGTATTTCATAAAGAGAAAATAAGAATATGTTTCTGTAAGTTTCTGCATTGAAATGAATGTATTCATACGATTTCCTATTGGTTTAACTCATTGGTGAATAAAAAAGAGCCCAGTAACTTGCTAGTAGTTCCAGCTAAACAAAATTATTAGGAAAGCCTTGCCTAGTAATTCTATTTAGATATAATAATGATGAATATGTATCGTTTATTTAGCACAAGCTAATGCAGTTACAATATTAGTCTTAATCTAGGTTAAAAATTTAAATGTCACAATTAAAATTTAAAATTTAAAATCATGTACATTGAAACATATAAATAAAAACAGCACAATAAATAAAATAAAAAGAAGAAAAAAAACTGTATTAGCAGGTTCCTATACTAAACACTTTGTAGGTCTAAAAGGTGCACTTTTAATTTTCTTTTAAATATATTTAGAGAGGTAGCATTCTTAATATCCTCCGGTAGTTCGTTGAATGCTTGAACTCCTTTAATGAAAACTGTATTATTTGAATTGACATTACTAGTCTCACGTATATGAAAGTTATTGCGACTTCTTGTATTGTATTCATGATATTCAAAGTTATACTTTAATTTGTCACGTAGATATACAGGAACATCACCAGTTTTAATTTTAAAAATAAATATTAATGCTAAATAACGAAAGTAATTTTTTACTGATAACCATTTTAATGTATTCAACATTAATGTTATATGTGTTCTTCTATCACAAGATAATATTACTCTCATTCCTCTATTTTGAAGTTTCTGAAGTCTTCCAATTTCATTTTGGTTTAGTAAGTACAAGATGGTTCCACAATAAGTAAAATGAGGTAAAATCAAGCTATTATACAAAAGTAAAAGCGACCATTGGTTTAAGTGCTTAGATTGCCTACTTAAGTAATTAATTTTGAATGCTATTGTTTTAATAATATATGAAGCATGTTCCTTAAAAAACATTCTATTATCTACAATTACACCCAAATATTTAATTTTTCTTACTAACTCAATTTTATCATTTGACATTTTAATATTGAATTATATTTTTTGAAGTCATGGTACTGCTTGTCATTTCCTATAATCATGAATTTTGTTTTATTTTTATTAATTTTTAACGAGTTGAAGCAGCACCAGTTATATACAGATTTTAGTGTCTCATTTATTACATTAATTATATCAAGCAGATCATTTGATGCATAATATATTAAAGTATCATCTGCAAACAGATGAACAAAGCATCTATCAATTATAAATGAAATATCATCGATATACAATAAAAATAGAAGAGGAGCTAACACGCTACCTTACGGTACACCACACTCGTTTATAATTTCTGAAGAGAAAATGTTATTTAATTTTAATTTCTGTTTTGAATGCATTCAACTATTTGAAACTCATTTGAATATTGTTTGAATCTTCAAAATACATTAAATGTGAGGACCAAGCGCAGTATCGTTCTCAAATTGTTTCATCCAACAATCAAGGATTTGCAAGAGTTTCTTTGACACACCGATTAGTTTCATGAGAAAGTGATTTTGGCCAAGAGACGATGCTTCTCCTTCATCGGTTGTATTTTTTATTACTTCAACAACAATGTAAACCACATACAAATATTGAATGAATATAACTGATTTTATAGAATTTTATCATTTTTTTAATCAAAATACTGATTGTCTAATAACTAGATTATTTTTAAATTGAAAAAAGATTTATTTTTTAGGAGAGATTATCAATTCAATCATAAGTTTGTTATGGCCGAGATTATGGTATGGTATTTACGTATTGTCATCGGAACTTGAATAGATTTGTCTCTTCCGGTGACAAAGTCATAATGTTATTAATGAGTGCTTCGTCTTGTAATGTTACATACCTTACTCCAATAACCTACTGAAAACCTATTTGTTATTATTTCTACTATCATTATTTTATATGTCTTGCATATGTCAGTTATCGGGTACTTCATTTTTCTGTTCCTATGACCTAATGCACACGGGCGTATAAAGTAACACGCATCAAATCATGAGTTCGGATGTACGTTCTTTAAATACATTGCTCTTATTAAGGTGCGTATTCACAAAAAAAGCGAGCACGAGCGAACAAGAGCGAACAAGAGTGAACGAGCATTCTGCATCAATAATCAATAATGAGCGAACACGAGCAAACATACAAGAACGCTCGCTCGTGCTGGCTTTTTTGGTGGAAACGCACTTTCAGACATATTTATCGCGCATACACTGCTCGCACAAAGAAGATGGATCAACTACGACTACGAACTTGAAGATATTCGCTCTGGTGTGGACGAGACATCAATATGTCGAGCAAACACGAGCGAACATGAGCGAACACGAGCAAACATACACGAATGATCGCTCATGCTCGCTCGTGCTCGTTTTTTTTTGTGAATACGCACCTTTATAGCTCGGCTTGTACGAGACAGCAACAACAAACCGAGCGAGCATCACATAATGCTCTGTTCTGCGGTAAGGTTCAACAACGTCCGTCTCAACGTATGATTTGCGACGCGTTAAGTGCGTCCGTATACTCGTATATCGGGTCTGGGAATTAACATTTAGTCATGTGATGGTTTTCGTAAGACGTCTACAAACAGTTATAATCGTAATGGCATGATCATTGAAATGATTCATAAATAATACTAATAATAATAAGGTCACCCATTTGTTTTATATAGATGATCTTAAGAGAAGGATCTTCATCAGTCTTTGAGGGTAGTGGAAGAGTACACGTATGCTATCGATATGAAATTCGGGATAGACAAATGTGCAATGGTCCATCTTAAAAGAGAACGATGCGGGGACTACAGAGAGGATGTGCAGTTCGTAGATGGAGGCATCCTACATTATTTAGATGCCGGAGAGACG